GCACAGAGGCGGCGGCCGTAACTCACTCGGCCAGCCGAGCTGCTGTGGGAGCCCACGGCGCCGCACTCCAAGACAAGAGGCTCTCAGCACCCCGTGAGCCGGGGAGACGGCTGTTTGGGGGTTACCTCCATCAAGCCTCGCTACCCAATCAGGGAAAGGATGAGACTAAAACCTGGGCTCGAGACGTGGGCCTGCCACTTCACTGGCTAGGGGAGCTCGGGCCCGCTTGACCTCTCTGGCCTCGTCCCTCATCTGCAAGGCGGTGAGGTGAATACCGGTACGAGCTGCGCGGTCTCGGGACCGACAGTGGGAGGCGCTGCACGCCACACTCACCCTGCTGCTAAGGTTTTGCTCCGCTCCCCAAATGATCTGAAGGACATTGGTTTTAGGATCAAGAGAATTCTCCAAGGGCAAAACTTGCTCATAGAGAAGGAAGGATTCTGAAGAGGGTGATGGAGAGGCTTGAAATGACAGAGTTCTGGACACCCTCCCCTCCTTCTTCTCCTCCCCACCAAGAGCAGCACTATCCCGGCTTTGCCTGGCACAATGAATCCCATTCTACATGGGGCCGGGCTCAGGAGCTGAGGAGCGAGGTGGGGCAGAGCGGCCGGGAAGGGTAACAAAGATAAAAAGAATGGGGTCTCGGGTCTGGACTGGTCCTGGAGAAGTCGGAGCACTGGACACCGAGTCTGGGCTCAGTAGTATGAATGAGCGCCGTAGCTGGGGCTTTTCACGGAACTTGTACCTACCCCCCCCCTTCTCACTAGCACAGCCACAGGCCCCGTCTTGCTGGAGACGCTCACCAACATTTTTGCCGAGCCCGTCAGTCACTTCGTAACTGAGTTGCAGACAAACTCAGATGGCAGCGGGGACCTGGGCCAAAGCGGCCCCGGCAGGGGAGAGAAGGCGGCTGCGGGAGCCAGCAGCGATCCACGGGAGGGGAGCCAGCTTCCTGGCAGGCAGGGAGGCAGGTGGACAGGCGAGAAGCACATTTGTAGGTGAGCAGTCAAAGATGCCACGCCTGCATCTGTACCAGACATTACTAATCAATTACTATGCCACTCCCTGAGGAGCCCAAATAGACTCACAATCCTCCTGGAGAGGACTTAGGCAGCCATGACCCCCGGGCTGGCCTGGGAAGGCAGAAGCCGCCTGCCATGCTGGTCTGGTCTGGTCCTGTCAGGGGCTCACTCCCTCAGCAGTTCACCACTAGGATGGGGTGCAGAACACAGTCTCTCGGGCTGGCACACTGCTGGTTCACGGGAAATCACCTGGCCTCCTTTCCAAGCTGACGATGGAGAGAAACGAGGCCACAGGTATCCCAGTGTCTCGAGCAAATGTGCTGGGTCTAGCCGGGCGGCGATGGCCCACACTAGCCATGAATGTCCCCAGTGGACACACTGGTGACCAGCAGGGTCGCGGAATCTAAGATTGTTTCCACAAGGCGAGTGGCTCAGGTTCAGAAAGTATCAGCTCACGAGCAAGCGCGCTCGGTGAGCTCCCAGGGCTGGGCTCCAGGGAGCCTTCCAGGGGGAGGGAGAGACAGGCAGACAGACAGACGGACAGAGAGGCAGGCAGACAGAGACAGGCATGCTGGCAGACAAGCAGGCAGGCAGACCCTGCTTCTCAGTTCTCTGAAAAGGGTCTAGAAACACCTCCAGCAGTGTTTCTTCACCCTGAAGTCAATTTAACATTAATATGAATATTCTGAATGTTAATTCTAGATTCTTCCTATCTTTTCCGAGTCACTGTAGTACCAGGAAGTCTGTGCATGAACCTCCTAGATAAAAATAGATCCCAAGAAATAAAATAGGCTTACTAGGCCAGCCCTGTCACCTCCCTGGGTTTAATTGGCCTAGATTTATGGAACCCAGTGTACAAACTGTTCAGAGGGGTAGGAAAGTTGGGGGATTTCTTTCTCCCCGGGCTCTGCTCATTTTCCTCCTGGACAAAGGGCACTTTTGTGGCTGTCTCCAAAACCTAGAAAATTCTCCTTTCTTTGACCCCAGGAGCCTGGCCTGTCAAGACATCACAAATGCCTTCTTCAGCAGCCCTCATGGATTCCACTTACTTACCCCCGGGGATGGGCGACTCATTACTTTCCATCTTTTGTAGCATGGGGTATTTGGTTCCAAACACTTTCAGCTTTTGTGATTATATATTCTTCCCCCGGTGTTAAGTTCTGGCAAAACTTCAGCACTTTACCATAACCAGGAGATCCACTTTGATACCACCTTTCAGGGAATTTAGACTTCCCATGTGTTGCACACTGTCCACAGGTGCCTGTTTAGTTCTAGCGAGGGTTGGGGTGGGCACCCTGGGGACCAGCAGGACCTGCCCTCTCACAGAAACCGTCACCGGCCTCCGCGATCCCTGGCCACCAGTGTCTGTCACCTCCTGTCTTGTCATTTCGGGAGCGCTAGAGGAATCACACAGCTGTGACCTCCGGGAGCTAGGCCCGCTCTCTCGGCTTCATTGTCTGGAGTTAACAGGTTGCTGTGTAATTCTGTGACTCTGCTCCTGTTCGCTACCTAGTGGTATTCCGCTGTACGGACACAGCAAAGGCGGTGCAGCCGCGTTCCCACCGAAAGACACCCCGCTGGGCTCCAACATGGCGGGATCAGAACCTAAGCTACGTGTGGGAACATCTGTGCGTAGGTCCTTCCTGCTCCTGCTCACACAAGCTTGCTGGTCACGCCTTCTACGATTCACTCAATCACACAAGCTTGCTGGTCACCCCTTCTACGATTCACTCCATCAGACAATACCACACGAGCGGGTGCAGCCTTCCCAGACAATTTTAGGACATTCGGCCACCTCAAACAGAAGCCTAGCCTACACCGCACCCTTCAACTCTCCCCTGGCCTCATGCCCCCCAGCTCTATGCAGCCTCCCTGCCTCCCGGACTTGCCTGCCCACCATTTCATGCCAACGGCGGTACACAGCTAAAGCCTTGGCGCCAGGTGTCACACCGGGTAAGGTGTCACCAGGTAAAAGGGACAGTCTCAAGGTTCATTCACACCGTGGCTCATGTGCCGCACTCCTTTTGATAGCTGAATAGTATTCCCCTCCGTGGATGTGCCACATTCGCCCCCGGCGGTGGAGACGGGCTGGCATCCCAGCAGATCGCCCGGCACAGCGCCCGGCGAAACGGGCTCACGCACGGTGCACAGTGCTCACACAGACACGGACCAGGAACCCTGGGTCTGAGGACCCGGGCTGACAGGGTGTGGGGCGGCAGGCCCCGCAAAGACTCCAAGCTGGAGCTCGGGGTCATCCACGGCGGGCCCCACATGGGTTCAGGGGCGCACGGTGTGCCCCTCCTACCTCTACTCCCCTCGGCCCCCTACCCTGTGTGTGACTCAGGAGGATCCTGCCCAGAAAGGCACCAGGCTTGGCGGAGAGCCCAGCACAGCGGCACGGGTCTGAAAACAGACTGGGATTTTCACTCCACCTGGCAGGATGTGCCCCCCACACCTGGACCCCTCCTCCTCCGGGGGCCAGAGACCTATGCTGGCCACCGGCTTTGTCTGCCAGCCTGCCCGGGGCTCCCTCGGAAGGCTCACAGCGACCCCTGCTGTCCACCACTGGGAGCGGCCCCGGGAACAAAAGCAAGGGAGGGCTGCCAGGAGGGTTCACAAACTCCCAGAACAATGGCAGGGAGAAGGGGCACTGCACAGAATCCGGTTCCCTGCCTTGTGAAAAGGCAGAGAAAGCTCGAGATCAGATGGCGCGCTCCCTTTGGCTTTTGCTCCTCAGGATCGGCGTCGAGGAGCACCGTCATTTGCCAGGACATCCCTTCCTGGGCGTCAGCGTCTGCCACCTCCTACATCGGACTCCTTTTAGGCAGAGGAAGCAGGTCTGAACAAGCTGACCCCCTTACCCACGCTGACAAGGGCCGGCGTGGGGTCCTGCCAACCTCGGCCGTGAACACCGCACGCTTGTGCCCGGCAGATGACAGACCAGGAGGGTAGAGAGCAAGGACAGAGCACTGAGTCCCTGCCCTGAACCTCAGGCAAGAGGCAAGGGGCAAAGCTCCCACGGAGAGAATTCTTCCTCCTCTCCGTCTTGCTGCTGTGGCCCAGGGGAAGATGGGTTTGGAGGCTCCCCCAGGGGCTCCGCTTTCCTCCCGCCCTGCTAGCACGCGAGGGGGGGATGGACGAGTGATCGCACCCCGGACGGAGAAGGCCAACTGCCCCTGCTGTGGAGTCGCCCGGCCGGGCTAACTCATGTGCTTCCACTCTGGGGATGGGGGGGGGGTGTCTGGACGCCCCTCGACGTGTACGCGGGGAGTCCCCACTCGACGTGTACGCGGGGAGTCCCCACACCCGCCAGCCTTTGCCCCATTCCCTCAGGACCGGAGCCGTGGGGGGCCCCTAAGCAGCCTGAGAAATCAGAACCCACCCGGCGTGGGCACGGGGGGCCGGGGCGGGCCGGGCTCTGTCCTATGCTCTTTGTTTTCCAAGAGCAAACCAGCTGTAGAGGAATTAACTCCTTGAAAGAATCGAGGTGCTACGTGAGCAGAGGGGACTTATTACATCAGACGCCTGCCTGTCTGCCTGGCTGGCACCGTGGCAGGGCGGGCTGGGCCACCTGGCCTGCTCTCCCGGCATCCAGAGGCCCGTGTCCGCAGGGGATGCCCGCAGGGAAGTCGCCTCCTTCTCTAAGGGGCCAGGACCAGAGACCCCTGGGAGCTGTGACCAAGGCCCGGATACAGGGAGGGGGGACCCCCAAAAGCCCCGAGGCGATGCCCCTGGCTTCCAGCCAAGGGGGACGTGGGGTGAGGCCCCTGCGCCGGGCCTGCCGCAGTGGGCGGGGTCCGGCCCGCTGCGGAGGAGGGCTGGCTGGGCCACGGCCCTGCACAGGCTCTCACATTAGGGGACCGGTTGAAGGCGGAGGACGATCTGGCCTGCGGTGGAACCATCTAGAACTCAGGACGCTCCCGAACCCTACCAAGCGGCAGCGGCGGCGGCAGTGCCGAGGACCAGAGCGCGTCCTACCTGAAGAGCTCCCGGATCTCCCGCTGGCTGGCTTGAAAGGGGACGTTGCGCACCAGGATCTTAGACGTCGTCTGCTTCCTGGAGACTTGCTTCTTGCGTGCGGATGTCACCGCCGGCCTGCAGGAGGGGTGGTGGTCAGGTGACTGAAGCCCGCCCCCCCGCCCCCCCCACCCAGAACCAGCGCCCGCCCTCAGCAGGGGGATGCGTCACCCCCGCCCCACGTGACCCGGGGGCCACGTCAGCCCGGCACCAGGAGACATGGAACAAGCTGTGAGGGCCACTCACTACCCCTCAATCTGAGAGTTGGGGGACTGGAGGAGGACCTGACAGGAGGGAGGACTCCCCAACATTCACTGGCACCCAGCTGCTGGACAGCCACAATAAATGGCCAAAGAAATGGCTGAAGCCAGCTCTGGACGGTGGGAGGTGGTCATCAGAGTAGGTAGATGGTAATGGCCAGGAGATGAGCACTTGCTGGGAGACGCCCTTTGGGGGGTACTGCTGGAAGCCCCTGGGGGTGCTGGGTCACTGACATGGAGAAGCAGGTAGAGACAGGGAAGCCAACTAACAAAGCTCTCAAAATCTCTTCCCACTGTTCCAGGAAACAGCCATCGGACAACTGGTCTACCTCTGTCTCCTAACATCTACCGAGTTTCAAACTGACCAATGTCCCTGGCCTTTGCTGTCCCACTCTGGGAAAGGGGGAGAGGGGGGGTACCAACGCTGGTGGGCGTGATGCCTCACAGTGCTCATCTGAGGCACGTGTGCAACTCTCCCTTGCTTCATTCCTACCATCCAGCCCTGACCGCGTGCGTGTTTCTCCCCGGCCGCCCGGCCGCACATCGGAGCAGCACAGGTAACATGGCCCCAAAGGCCAGGCCCAGGCTGAGCAGGCAGGGAGCGGCATGGCGGCAGGGAGTCAGGACACTCACTTGGTGGCTCGCTCCGAGACCCGCAGCTCCAGCTTGTGGCCGTCCACAACGTGACCCTGTAAGAGGAGACACTGGGCTCACCGCTTTGCCTGTCACCCAGGGAACCCCCGCCCAGGGCAGGGGACACAGACGGCTTTCGGAGACCTGATCTTTCCTTATTTTCCCGACTGTTACACCACCAGGGACCTAGAATCTTCTATCCTTCAAGGCTTGCAATGTGGGTTAGTCGGAGTGCTACTCTTGAAGGAAAATTCTAAACCGGGGCCCGGGGGCAGGACTCTAACGCCAGTCTCTGGAGACAAAGCTGGGGTGATAGCAAAATCCACCCTGAAAACCGCAGCACCTCACAGCCGCCGCAGCACACGCAGCCTCCGTGGACAGCGCTCGGCGGGCGGTGCCACCGGCCCCAACGCGCACGCGTGCACGTGCGTGCCAGGATGTGGGGTGCGAGGAGCCCTTTCAACCCTCGGGGAGGTGTGAACCCCAGCTCTCTTCCTCCTGCCTCTGGGGCTGAGGGTACTTCTCCCTGCCCTGAGCATGGCGGCCACACCTGGCCCAGATGGCCACCGGGTTCCATGCGGCAGATCAGAGACCAGCCGGCTCACTGCTCCTCGGACCCTTCCTCAGGGATCTTCAAACCCTGTAACAGCCTTTGGCTCCAGTCCAGTCTTTCAAAAGCCTGGGACATGTTGCCCCCGACACCCGTCACCTCACCTTTTACCCCAATATCGGGCCTCCGTTGGCTTCACACACGTGAAATTCAGTCCTACCTTCCCACGCCACAGGCCCTTTGCACATGCTGCTCCCACCTTCTTGACTGCTCCCCTCCTGGCTCTCTGCACAGCTGACTTCAGATTGAGGTGTGAGCTCAACCTCCACTCCTTAGAGATGTGTTCTGCATGTACCCACTGCCCCTACTGTGTGCTGTGGGCTTGCATATCTGCTCAGGCTTTTGCTGCCTATCTTTCCCCCACATAGAGAGAGAAAGCACCTTCTCCAGGCCTAGCCCAGCACAGGGCACAAACCATGCCCACAAAGGGCTGTGGACAGAACGAATGAACTAACACGTTCTGAGCTGCTCACTGGCTGCAGTTCGTTAGAGCAGGATGAGTGGGGGCAGATGGAGGGGTGTATGCACGCCCCTCCCCCCCGGCACCTGCCAGTCTCCCCAGAGATCTTACCTGGAGCTGCCGCAGGGCTTTTTGGGCCTGCTCGGGCTTCCGGTACTCCACGAAGCCAAACCCCATGGACAGCAGGGTTCCTGAAAGAAAGGGGGTCACCAGCGAGGTGGGCAGGGAGGAGGCCCAGGACTGTGTGCCAGGGCGCCCGGGCCCGGGCGCGCCCACGAGGTGATCATGGCCACCACCTGAGACGTGGCGGGCCAATCGTTGGCATAAGCCGGGCGTGACCATGGGCCCGTCACAGAGCACCGCCATTGGAGGGAGAGGGGTTTGACAAGATGGGCGTTGGGGCTCTGCCTGGCCAGCCCTGGTCCCGTCTGCTGTGTGGAACGCTTCCTCGCTGAGCTGGGCGCCCGGGACAGAGGCGGCCTCTGGGCTCGGGGACCCTGAGACCTGGCACCTGCTGGCTCTGGGCACCTCCTTTCAGCCCAACCCCCCTTCCGGGCCTTAGAGTGATCTCCTTTTCCGAATCCCCAAACCGATTCTTCCTGAAATGTGACCTTACTGGAAATGTTTTGGTTTTTGTTTTCTTTTGAAACGGGATCCACCCTGGGGACTTGCGAACCTCCTGCGTGAGGCTCCCGGGTGCTGGGACTACAGGTGTGTACCACCATGTCCGGCTGTGAGATTTGTCCTTCACATAGACCATCGAATCAAAACCAAGCCACCTGGGTGGGTACAAGTCCCAGTGTGGGACTTGTATGGGAGCTGCCCTTTAAGAAAGGGCCAGGGTAGGCAGGACTCGAACCCAGGACGCCACGAGGACCTGAAGCACAGGACATCCTGGTGCTCAGTGCCGGCAGCCTCTGCCACCTGACCGCTCTTCTCTGCCAAGCCCCCGGGCTGCCACGGGGGAGCATGTGCTGGGATTGTCACACCACAGCGTCCCGTGACCCTGGCAAAAGTGCTGCAGACCTCCACTTGTGTCCTCAAGCTGTGCTGGGGGGCCCTGGGGATGGGGTCCCCACGACAGGACCACTGGGCCGCGGCCACCCCACCGTCCCCCCTCCCCTGCAACCAGCAGGGGTCAGGACAGCACCAGGCTGGTGACAGGGCGTCCCCACCCACCCTGCTCCAGCCGAGAGGCCCAGGGTTCATGACTCGGGAGAATGTTCTAGAAGTTCTACATCTAAACACTGCGTGGGGAGGAGATGGAGGCTGCTGGGGGGGAGAAGGGTCATCCACCCTGCCTGCCCACTAAACACTAAATGCGGCCGGTCTTTGGGGGAACGGCAGGGCCATGCCACACACCAAGCGAGGGCACGGGGTCCCCGATCACCCTACCCCGCCCCCATGGCCTTGGGGCTCATCCAGGCATTACCGGCTTTGTTCTTCTTCCTGGAGACCACGCAGCTCCTCAGTGCGCCCACTCTGGAAAACACCTGCAAGACAGTGTCACCAGACCTCACCCCAGCTCCTGGGGATCCCCCCATGCTTGGGGGCACAGAGCGAGGCCGTGTGGGAGGTGAGGCGTGGATGGGGTAGCGCTGCGTGGGGAGCGCCGGGATCGGGCCCACGGGCCCGCGGCGATACACAGCGGGTTTACACGTGGGCAGTGGGGGAGCAGCGGCAGGCCCCACACCTTCAGAACTGGGTTGTGGGGCCCATTGGGGGGCACCCCCACTTAAAAAGGGCCGGGTGAGCCAGAGCTGCACGCGTGGCGGGGGCCACGCAGGACACTCCTCCCTGCCCTCCCTGCAAACACCACTCACCTCCTTCAGCGTCTCCTCCGTGGTGCTGAAGTTGAGGTTCTTAATGAACAGCGTGCACCCCGGGGAGCTCTCTTCATCGTCATCGTCGTCGTCGTCATCTCCGTCGGCGCCGTCGCCGTCGCCCGGCCTGCCGGCGGCTGCCCTCAGCACAAACACACCACATGTTTTCAGCCAGGGGGGCCCAGCCCGAAAACCAGAGCCCACCAGCTCCCTGCGGCCCGGGCAGCGTGGTTTGCCCCAGGAAGACGGACAGGCCGCAGCCGGGACCCCCGCCGCCTCCGGGGACAGAGCAAACGCCGGCTGCGGCCCCCACGCTGCCAGCTCTGTGCAAGAACGCGCCCCGGGCAGCCGGACGCTCAGCGTCAGAGCCCTCGCGAGACCGTGCTCTGAGTGGGGGCCGTGGCTGCGAGGCTGCGTGCGTCACATGTGAATCCTACCTGGAAAAGCGGAGTTCGGCAAACTTGCCAACTCCAATGTAACTTTCTCTTTTCTTTTTCTGCCAGTCCTGAGGCTTGAACTCAGGGCCTGGGCGCTGCCCCTGAGCTGCTTCTGCTCAAGGCGAGCGCTCTACCACTTGAGCCACGCACAGCGCCACTTCCAGCGTTCTGTGAATGTGGTACTGAGGAATCAAACCCAGGGCTGGCAGGTTCACCACAGACCTAAAGAAACTTCCAGAGCGCTGCACCTCTCAAGTTTCGCCGTTTGTTTTAGGGGTACCCCCTAGGTCTCCCCTCTTAGGGAGGCCCACCCAGCATGGCCAGGAGTTCAGTTGTTTCTAGAAAAGCGGAGAGTCCAGCTTCTTACGGGGAAACCTCGTCCTCAGATCCTGGCAGCCTGACTGCGTCACGAAGGAGCTGGTCCCGCCTGAGCTTACACCACTTGGACCACTGAGAGAGGTCCCAGCTGGCCAGCCCAGCCGTCTCCGTGCCGAGCAGCTGAGGGTCCTCCTCCCGCTCATCCTGACCCTCCTTCCTTCTTCCCTGTCCTGCTCTATTGCAACTGCACCGGCCTCTTCTTTGATCGCCAAGCCTGCCAAACCAACACCTGCCACAGGGCCTTTGCACTGCAGTTCCAGCCTGTTCTGCTCATCTCTGGTCCACCCAGGCCTGGCTCCTCCTGCTCAGATCTCTATTTGTGCACAATAAATGGCTGTACGTGGTGTGCGCCTGCAACGCAGTGAGGCTCAGAAACACCCAAGTGGTGCCCACGCGGAGCTGCGGCGCGGTGGGTAAGAGCTCAGACCTTGAGGCTGGTGGCTTCGGACCCTACTTGGCTCTCTCCGCGTGTGACCCCATACAGATCCCGGGCCTCTGCTTCCCTCCTGTCACCTCTATGAAGGGATGACAGGTGTCCGGCTTGCGGGCGGCAGCGCACCCAGGCCTGTTGTGCGCTCAGCAGCAATGCCCGCGCATCTTTCTCGGTCACCCCGCGGCATGCACAGTCCCACAGGGCCCTCAGGAGGGGAGGGGCGCTGAGCCCCGCACCCCTCTCCCTGCAGCCCGCTCCAGGCTCTGCAGGTCGGGGAGCCCAAGGTCTTCCTCACGAGTAGACAAAGGAGGAGGAGAGGGAAACACGGCTTGGTGATGCGCCTACAGATGTTTGCCCACAAAACCACTAGGAAGGGGGCGGGCGGGCGGCTGGGCGAGCAAGCGGGGCTGCGCGGGGGGAGGGGGCGGGGAGCAAGGTGGGCTGGGGAGGGCTGGAGGGGGACAGGGTCTGTGCTCGTCTGTCTTGAGCACAATCAAATCCAGTCACGCCTCGCCACCCGGGGCTCCGGGATAATCGGGTGCAGAATTACCGCGCCCTCCCCTTGCAGGCTGCGGCTTGGGGGCCCGCGGCGCGGCGTTATCAGCGGCGCGCAGCTTTCCCGGACCTCCCCCCCACTCGCGGCCCTTTATCTGGAGGTGAGGGTCTTGGTTGTGGGGAGATAAAACACGCTGTCCCCTCCCGGGGGACCGGCACGGAGAACAGGAGAGCATCGCAGACAGGCCGGGGGGGGGGGGGCAGGCCGACACGCCGCAGCACACCGCACGGCCCTCTCCCTCCCCGCCACCCTCTCCCCCCCTGCAGGGCTGAGAAATCCAGGGCTCCACTCACCCAGCCACGGGGAGCCAGAGACCTGGGGACACTTCAAACAATGTGCACCAGGGCCGGGTGGGGAGCAGGGGATGGAAGGGAAGATAGAGGAGAATAGAAGGGAGCCTTGGGACCAGCACTGGGAAATCACAGCCAAGGCGACACATGGGGGGGAGGGGGAGCCGGGGCGGGGGACCCGCTGGGCAAGGCACAGATGGCACACTTCCCTGGTCTAGAGCCAGGCAGGCAGCGAGCCCCTCCTCCAGGCTCCCAGGCCTCTATTGTGGGAAAGCCGCCTCTGTAGAGGGAACCCCACAGCAGCCGGGGGTGGCCCCCAGACCTCCTCGGGCCCCCCACCAGCCCAGAAGCTCCCGAGGGACAGGAAGATGGTGCCCATCCTGGTCAGCCCCTCGCGGCGGCTGGTGCGCAGCTCTCCGTGGGTGCGAGCCGTGTATGCTTCCACGGACACGGGTGGACGTGGGCTGTGTGGGAGGGGCAGGGCCCTGCCCACGCCTCTGCCCTCCAGCAGGCTCCGGGACCCGCAGTGGAGCAGGACAACAGAGGTTCAGACCTGCTCTTGGCTTAGGTGAGAACCGCCTGTCCTCTCTCACCATTTTGCCCCTCTGCCTTCTAGTTTTCTTTTGAAATATGCAAGAATGATGGAGTTAGCAGATGGAGGACTTGGCTTCTTTTTTTTAGTCCAGTGGTGGGGCCTGAACTCTGGGCTGGGCGCTGTCCTCAGCTCTTCAGCTCAAGGCTAGCACTCTACCACTGGAGCCACAGTGCCACTTCCGGCTTTTTTCTTTTTGCTTATGTGGTGCTGAGGAATCGAACCCAGGGCCTTGTGCATGCAAGGCAAGCGCTCTACCACTGAGCCACCTTCCCAGCCGACTTGGCTTCTTTAAAAGATGTATTCTTATCTAATAAACCAATTGGGAACTCTATTCCATGTGAGCATCCTGCTACTGGTGGATTTTAAAAGAAAAAACCACCAAACTTTTGAAACAAGCCGGTTAGATAGCCAGTCTTACCAGCCTTCAACGCACCTGCCACAGCCTATCAAATGCTGGGATTACAGGTATGTACCACCAGGCCCATCCTTACGGGTAAAACCCTAATGTTTGAGTAAACAGACCTCTACTATACTCCAAACACGGCTACCGGTCTTGGAGTCTAACATGTGGTTAGAATCAGTGGTTCTCGTGGGGGGCCGCCCGCTAGGGGGCATCTGGGAACGGAGCACCCCAGCTGCTCTGCGGGCTGTGACAGGCTTTTGCCGCTTGCACCACGATCCTGCTGAGCAGGAACAATCTGACAACAGTGCCTCACAGCCTAGCTACTGGGGGATGGGGGGAGGGAGGGGGAAAGACCCACTGCCAGGACCCAGGGGCCACCACGCTGCCTGACCGACCGTGCAGCCACTGGACCCCAGGACAGGAGCGCCCTGGGCGGTCTCCACCTGCCCCTCCGCCACCTGTGCAACCATAAGGTGTCCCATTTGCTGCTCTGAGTCCCACTAATGGATTCTAGAGTTCCTCTCTCCAGCCGTTAACTGACAACCCAAACGGCCTCAGGGTGCGCCCACCAGGAGACGCTCAGATCTCTGCAGGGTGAAGGGAGAAGCCATCGGCTCCACGAGGACTTCCTGCCTCCCGGGCTCTTACCTGTTCCTGGCCCCGCCTGCACCTCTTCATCAGCGTCGCCCGGCCCGGCCTGGGGCTCGCTCGTCCGCTGGGCTGTGCTGGAGAAGACGCCCATCGGAGCCCACTCGAGATACAGGGGGACGTGGTGGAACTGTGGAGACAGGGTGCCAGCTGTGGGAGGCATCCCGGGGCTGGGAGCCCGCCAAGGTCCTGGGGGGGCCGAGCGTCTGGCCGGGACAGGAAGAATGAATGGGGCAGGAGAGCACGGTGCACTTGGGCAGACACACACAGGGTGTGTGTGGGGGGGCTACATCTCCCAGCCCCACAGAAAGCATCGCTGGCTACTCGGAACCTTCCGGATCTCACTCCATGCTCTAGCCTGCCCGACTGAGTACCGGGAGTCCACATGCTGGGAGGTGGGGTGGGGGAAGGTGTGCGCATGCTCCAAGCCAGCCCTGGGGGTGAAAGGGTGCACACCTGCGCCTGTGTACTCTGGAGTGCGTGTGCTCAGCAGGGACAACTAGAGGGCTGGGATGGCACCTTCCAGCCATATGGCTTGAGGCTCCCGGGCCTTCATTCACACTTATGCAAAGTGGGGAGTGCAAAGCGGGGAGCCAGCGAGAGAGCCGCTGTCATTAATGGAGGTGGTATAAAACAACGGGATGATCTGGGCGCCAGTGGCTCACGCCCGTCATCCTAGCTACTCGGGAGGCTGAGATCTGAGGATCCTGGTTCAAAGCCAGCGTGGGCAGGAAAGTCCATGACACTTTTAGGTCTAAACAAACACCCAGAAAGCCGGAAGTGGCGCTGTGGCTCAAGTGGTAGAGCGCTTGGCTTGAGCTGAAGAGCTGAGGGACAGCGCCCAGGCCCAGAGTTCAAGCCCTACCACTGACAAAAAAAAAAAGAACAAAAAAAGACATGGACATCTACATCCCAGGGGAGCCTGTGCCTGTTGGGGTCCAGGGTCATTCCTGGGTAGGTGCATACACAGGCTGGCACGGGGGCACCCGAGAGCCGAATGGGCCGAGTCCAGGCCGGAGGCTCGCTCTCCCCCACCCCTGGCAGCCTCCTCCCTGCATCACAGGGGGAGCTCCGTCAGTGACGTGTGTCCGTGCCTGACAGACACCTGGCGGGATGAATGGGGGTTCCCCAAAGATATGGCTGCGCCTTGACCCCCACAGCCCGCGACTGACAGAACTGCAAGTGTCCGTCTGTGAGCCGTCCTGCTCCCCCGGTCCAGGCCCCCTACCCCACGCCCGGCCTCACCTTGGAGTAGGCCAGGTGTCTGAAGGCCTTGCGGGCTTCCAGGGGCTCCAGGAACTCCACGATGGCGGTGACCCCGCCTTCCGGCAGCAGCACCCGGCCCAGGCTGCCGAAGCGGCCGAAGACCTCCTGCATCTCGGCCGCCGAGGTGCCTGCTGGGAGGTTCTTGGCCAAAATCACAGTCTTGCTTCGCTCTGCTGCAGCCTTCAGGGGCGAAGTGAACAACACCGGTGGGACCAGAGCAGCGGGGCCTCGGGCAAAACCCAGCCCCGGCCAGCAGTGGCCTCGGGCAGCAGAGCCAGAAGGCCCGGCCTCGGCCGCCATGGCAGCCTTGTGGAGGGTGAAGTGAAGGCCCAGGGCCCTTCTGAGCCAGGCAGATCCCCTCGCTGCCCGGCCTGTCCTGCCTGGGCCTAGCAGTGACCGAGAGCCTGGGTTCCTTCATGGACTGGTGCACTCTGTCTCTGTGGAAGCATGGGCCTCCCGCCAGCCTGGCAGGTCTCCCCCACCGAGGCCCCGTGGCCTCCCCCGGAAAGCCACGCCCAGCCCTTGAATCCCGGGCTGGAGCTGCGTGAGGACCTACCTGGCTGAAGGAGTCCAGGCTGACCCCGTTGTCGATGAGGAAGCGGCGGACCTCCTGGACCAGCTGGGTCTCCCCCAGGGCCACCCGCACGGCCACGCTGCCCTTGGCGTCCTGAGGGATGGAATGGAGGAGGGTGACGGCCCATGCCACCTACCCTCAGAGGGAAATGGGGCTGGCCCACGGCCTTCACCTGCCCTCACGGCCCTGCTGCCTGGGTCCGAGTACCCCAGGACCCCACAGCCCCTTCTCCGGCCTCCTCCTCCTCTAGCCCCTGGGGCAGATTGCTGTGACTCCGACACAAACTGGCTGACCTCGGGTGGCGCTCATGGACTTGCTGACCTCAGATTGGACTACTACTCCGGGCGCCACTATCTTCCTCAACTACAAGGGACAGGACGGTTAGAACCCCTGCTCTGGGCTCCGCTGAGCTCCTGGTGCACACGGGGTACTTGCGACCTGTCTCTCCTCTTACCTTGGGCCAGCCTGCAGTACCCTACATGGCCACCAGGGGCCACACTGAGCCGCTAAGTGGCCCAATCACACTGGACTTGGTGAGAAACAAAGACTGAAAAATGGCTTGGGGTGACTGGAATTAACTTTGTCTCCTTCCTTTGCAGTCACTCTACCTCTAGGGACAGTGCTGGCCTGGCATATTAAGGGACAGTGGACAAAATCAGGGCTGCCCTTGGCAGGTTGGAGGAAGCCAGTTGTGAGTTTTATCTAACACAGACTCAGGAGCCCGAGACTCTAGGTACGGGCTGGATCACAGAATGTGCCCATGTGGCCCTCACTCACGTGGTCAAACACTTGGCTCTTGGTGGCGTTGTACTTGTGAGCAATGGCATCGGCCACGGCGTTGGGCCCCATGAACAGCGTGTTCCAGTTGTGGGAGCTGAGGGGCAGAGGCAGAGCAGGGTCACACCCGGCTTAAGGGGGACTCCTTCAGACCTCCAAGAGCTAAGGCATGGCTCTGGGCAGCTGCCCAAGCTCCACCCCCCACCGACCCCCACCCTCGCCCAGCTAGCATGGCTGGAGCACGGCGCATGCGTGGGGTTGTGCACACAATGGCAGATGCCAGCGCCTGTGGTCACTGCCGGTCAGTGATGGCCACACTGCTCTCCCCGCTGAGCAGATGAGTAGAGAGGCTCTGGAAGGCCACACACAGAACCCATGGGGAAGAACAGTGAGAGCAGCAGGAAGCTTGGGTAAGGCTGATGAGTCACGCCTGTAATTCCAGCTGCTCGGGAGGCTGGGAGCCACGGCGGGGGGCTTCCCAACCAGCCTGGGCAGGAAGAGTCCAGACTCCATCTCCAAAATAACCAGCAAAGACTTGGACTGGGAGACTGGGGGACAAGGCTCAAGTGGAAAAGAGCTCCAGCCACAGGCAAGCAAGCAAGCAGAGAGGGAACATGAGGCCCTGGGTTCAAACCTCAGTGTCAGAGAGAGAGAGAGAAGGCAGGACTGAGGGGGCGGAAGCTGGGGTGGGTGACTGGGTAACGAGGACCTGGAGCTGTTGGCCTTGTCCTTGGCTTCCTTCTTCTTCTTGTAGGAGGAGCCGGAGGTGTCGGCGTCCTCACTGGCCTCCTTCTTGATGGTAGATGGCAGCACGTGCAGCATCCTGCCCTGGGGGGAGGAGGGAGGGGTCAGCTGTCACGGACATGCTACTCACTGTGGACACCGCTGACCCGAGGGTGGTCACTGGGTGGGGTCAGCTGATGGCGGATCCCTGTAAGCGGCCCTGCGGCCAGGGCTGGGAGAGCCCTGCTGCTCACCTGGAATACTCGCCCGTCCACCTCGGCGTAGGCCTTCACGGCGTGCTCGGGAAACATGAAGGTCACGAAGGCAAAGCCCTTGGGTTTCTTGGTCAGGCTGTCGATGGGGTAGTGGAGGTCGGACAGGGGACCTGGGCAGAGACGGGCATGGAGTCAGCTGGCTGGGAGCGGGGCTGGCTGCCGGAGCACTGGGTGAGCAAGGTGCTGGCACTGGAGGGGGCGGGCGTGGCTGTGGGGACTTCAGTCCCGGCACTCTCGGCCACTGGCTATCGCAGCCACCTGACAGTCAAAGTGTCACGGCGCGATTCCTTTGCGTCTGCTCTCGGTGTGCCCAGCTGCACCGCAGCCTCGCCCACCGCCTGCTGGGTGGCCTCACATCTGTCTTCCCGAATGGACAGCTGTGGTCTGTGGCCAACTCCTGCTGTGTGACCCAGGACCTCCCTGCCCGGGGAGACCCAAGACCACTGCTGGGGTGTCACCAGCACCAAGACCTCATGGCCACGGCGAGCCCAGCGGTGACCACGCCCTACAACACAGCCAGAATTGGCTCCCAGCACCACCTCTATTTGGGGCTGGCTTTTGCACAGGAAGCCGACTTCAGACACCCAAGCGGCAGGCATGCCCAGGCCTGTGGTCACTGCCTGCCAAACACTGGGGGGGTGGGAGGGTGAGGATCTGGCCAGCCAGGCAGCTTCAGGAAAGCGTCCGCCTCCAGCTCTGCCTTGGCGCGAAGAGCTCCACACACTCAGCAGAGCCGCCATCTAGTGGTCCTCAGGCCACAGCTGGGAATCCCCACTTTACACAGGGCTGCAGCCATCCACTGCAGACTGGACGGGGCTCCACCCAGGACCGAGGCCAGCCGCACGCACCGTAGGCGGAGAAGAGCTTCTCCAGGTCTTCCTCAGAGCTGGTGTAGGGCAGGTTGCGCACAAAGAGCCTCCCGGAGTCCGCCAGGTCTTCCTCCTCCTCGTCTTCCCTGAGCGTGCGGCCTTGCCAGGGCTTGGTGCTGTTTCTGGGGGTCCCCTTGGCAGTGGGGACATGCTTCTCCCTGAACACCTCAATATAGCGCCCACCTGTGCAGGGACAGGGGGTCAGGGCCTACTAACCAGTGGCTCTGGTCTCCTCTCTGCTACTGCTGGACGCTGTGGCCTGGGAGGGGGAGAGTGCCCTTGGCACTCACCCACCACCTTCCAGCCTGGAGGCTGCCCGGCCCAGGCCACTGAGACCCCACAGTCCTGAGGATGACCTTCTGGCACCACTTGCAAAGTCCTCTGTGCCAGTCCAGCCCAGGAGAATGACCAGGGCCACAGGTGTCAAGGCCCGGGCTTCACCCCGCATGGCCATCCATCCTCCAACCCCCCCCCCCCCGCCCCGGGTGTTCCACGGAGCCCTCTGCCTGACTAAGGGGACTGCTGGCCGCTGCACCCCCAGTGCCCACCCCAGGCCCTGGCCGAGCGAGGAAGCGCCACGCCCCGTGGATGGTGAACCGCTCACGGCCCTGCCCCACGAGTCTCACCCATGTACTCTCTGTTACATTTCAATGCACTCTTCACCTCCTCTTCACTGCTGAAGTCCACAAAGATGTACCCTGGGAGAGATGCCACCGTCAGCCAGGCTGCCAGAGGCAGGGATGGGGGGGCGGGGACAGACCCTGACCACCCGGCGGAAGCCAGAGCCAGGTGCGCCCCACAATCCCGCCCCACCCAGAACCTGACCACCCGGCGGAAGCCAGAGCCAGGTGCGCCCCCCAATCCCGCCCCACCCACAACCTGTGAGACCTCACCGGTTTTGTTCCCATGCGTGTTTCTCACGATCCGAATGGCCACGGGCTTCAGGGGGGCCAGAAATTCGAGGACATTTTTCTGTAAGAAAGAATGTTTTCTCAGCCAGTCTCTCTCGTGTTACTTCCTTAATAAATGACTTTAAAAAAATTAATCCTATTAGTACAATTGTCAGATATTTTATCTGAAGACTTTGAAGCACCCCACGACTGGGCAGGGGTGTCATGGCTGGTGGCCGCGCTCTTGCCTGGCATGCGTGAGGCCCGGGCCTCAGTCTCCAGCTTTTAGTCCTCATAGCCAAACACTGCCAATGACCCGAGTCTAACTGTGAGGACTGGGGAGGCCGGTGCGTCTGCGCCACAAGAAATCTGGCATCGTGGGAGAGCACATGCGCCCTACTCCAGGGTGCGTGGGCACCACCGTGGCTACCGCCCCTTTATAACAGGAGGCCCACCCAGCTGGGTGCGGATGGCAGGGAATGACCCGTCTTCCTCCCCCCTGCCCCCTCTCCACAACAATGCTGCGGGCTCATCGCTCCGCCTCTGCCCCTATTTCCCTCTAGCTCATCCGGGCTGGTGCTCATCCCAGGGGCAGCTCAGGCTCTGCCCCCTCCACCCTGGCGCCCGCCCATCCTATCCCGCACCTCTGTGACGTTGAACGGGGCTCCGCGCAGCTTCACTGTGTGGGTGGTCGTGGGCTCCTTCTGGTTTGCCGGCTTCTGTGTCTGAGTGGTGGAGAGACAGAGGAGTGGCGGTGAGTCCCCAGGGATGGCTCCCACCGCAGCGGAGGTGCAGCCCGCGGCCCGGGAGGGCTGGGCGTGGCACGGCTAGCCGCGGTGGAGGCCTAGCATCAGGGAGCAGCAGGCCCCGCGGTGCGGGGATACCAGCGGGGAAGGGAAGGAACCCCAACTGGGACTGTGCCCAGTATTCAAGAGGCCAGTGTCTGACTCAGTCTGTAATACGACTCGACAGGTATTCTGGTTCACGGTCTTTCCCTGGATTCTGAAATCCAAACAGCCCTGCCAAACCCAAGCTCTGGGCACAAAACCTGCCCTGACTCGAGTGTGGTTCCCACCGGTCAGCTCCGGGCTGAGCACTGAGCACCGGCCCACAGGGCTGGCCGGCCGAGTCCTCGGCACGAGGTTTGTATGAGCGATGCCAGGGCCCAAGGACCCTTGTACGTGTGCTCATCTTCCTGGCGCTGTGCACCCCTGGGCTTAGGCCTGGCATGGGGAGGAATGGGAACCTGCTCAGGGACTGAGCTGGAAGAGCCTCATTTATAGGGAAGATCGCACAGGTTTAACAGCCAACTAAGGACTAGAGCTGAGATCTGAACCCAGAACTCAGGTTTCTCTGGAGTGCTTGTGATTAGAGGAGGGAAGGGAAGAGGAAGAAGAGGGTGAAGCCTCCCTTCCTCTCATTTGAGAGCCAAGGGAAGAGTGGGTGCTTCTAAGGCGGAGGGGGGGCCCCACAGGGGTTTCCCCCTCCCCATGGGAGGGACACAAGGTGTGCAACAACCTTTATAACCCCTTCTTCAGAGCCCGGCAGCCAGGAGTGAGTCCTGACCCCACTGCCTCCCAGCCATGGCCTTCTCTGCTCCAGGCCTCAGTTTCCTGGCTCTTCTTCCACACCATGCCCCGAAGGGTGGGCCCCCAGGCTGGCATGTGCAGCCCGGCCCTCCTTCCTCCCCCCCTCGGGCCCTCACGGAAGCACACACCTGAGCGGCAGCCTCCTGGGGTCTGCTGGTGGGTAGGGCCCCCGGTTCCGGGCCCAGCCCCCTGCTCGAGCTCTCCTGGCGGGCAGGGGAGGCAGGGGGGCTCTGGGCCTCGCCCTCGGTCTCGCTGCCTCCCTCACAGTTCACGGCCTCGTCCTCACTCTCCTCCTCTTCCTCTGAGGAGGATGCCCCGGCCTGCACCACCTTGGACCTCAGGTAATCCATGTCCGAGAGCCCCTTCTGCACGGCCACCTTTCCGTCCAGCCCTGGCTTCCCTGGAGGAACAGGGAGATGAGTTCAGCGAATTGGGTGACAGGGGACCGGCGTTCCAGGATGCGCCAGACACGCCATGCCACCACGGAGCACTCAGGACGGGTCCTCACCTTTGGCCTCCTCCCCAGCTGCCTCACTGTCGTCACTCTCCTGGCCAGAATCGGAGTCGAAGTTTAGGTAGTCGCTGGCTGGCTGGCTCTTCCTTCTTGGGGGCTCAGTGTCCAGGGCGTCGTTGGCCCAAGTGGCCGCCTGTGTCCGCCTCTGGTGAACTGACAGGAACTCCTGGAACTCGGTGTCTTCCTTCAGCTGATGGCACAGCGCCCGAGGAAGCAGGGGTGGAGAGATGGAGAAGAGGCAGAAGAGGCTCGGGTGAGGGCGGGGCCTATTGAGGAAGGCCAGCAAGAGCCCCTGGGATACGGGAGATTTAAGAAGCCAGGAGATGGGGCAAGGGGTGTACTCGTTCTCCCCCAAGCTCCCCTGCGCAGGCCTCCCTTCGGATCAGCCCTGGGACTCACCTTCTCCAGCTCAGTTGGTACCTTGTTCTTCTTATCCTGAAGGCAGAAGGCAGAGGGTGAGCATGAGTGGGGAACGGGGCGAGGAGAGCAGCACAGCCCTGCTGGGCCCAGGGACCATCCACCTTGCCTCTGCTCCCAGGGAGCGAGTGACTGCCCCACCACCTGCGTACTTTCTTAGTTTCTCTGGGGACAGAGTCCTGTGCAGGAGGCTCGGGCTGGATCGCTTTCTGGCCATGTTTGCTCCAGGCTCGGGGCTTTGTGGGGTCCCCAAATGACTTGCAAAACTCCACCTGTGTGGGGAGAAGATGGCGTTTATCACCTGCCACCCCCACCACACACACACACACACACACACACACACACACACACACACACGGGACCTGGGCACATGGGCTTTAGAGACAGGCCATAAACAGTGACCTGTTTCCTTGAAGCAAATTCCTTCCCATCCCCAGTCCTTAAGTCACTGCCACAGTTACCATGCATGGACTGATGCTGCTTCACTCCACCTGTGAGGGTCAGCATGCCAAGCCCCGCCACCCCTACCTCCCCCAAGCAGAGAGGAAGAGTCGCTGCTCTCCAACTTCCCAGCCCAGGAATCAAAGCAGAGAACAGAAGCCACTGCCCAGTGACCAGGTGGCAAGTGACCGAACTCAGGGCCTAAGGTCTTAAAACCACGTGTGCAGGTTGGCTCTGGTGACACAGGCTTTATGCTCAGCTGGGAGCTGGAGCAGGGCAATGCAGAGTGACAGCTGACAGGGGCAAGCCTGGCTGGCCCCAGACAACCATCACAGGGTAACAGGGAAAATGGGGGGGGGCCTCAGGAGAGCCCTAAGGAACAACTCTCAAAACCTAGACGTTTCCAACACTCCAGGAGGTGACCTTCGGGAGGACTGGCCCTGTGGGAGCCCACGGGGACACAGCCACAAGCTACACCTTGCCACGACAGGGAATCACTTTTCCCAGGGTCACAATCCTTTCATGGGGTCTTTAAGAATAATTCCTTCTGCTGGGCGTAGTGGTACATGTCAGTAAGCCAGTACTCAGGTGTAGCAGGAGAATTTCAAGTTCAAGGCCAGCTGGGGTTACATATTGTGACCTTGTCCCCAAAACAAACAGCCAAAAAAAGAATAAAAACCAATTGTTAGCTGGACACCGGTGGTTCATGTCTATAACCCTAGCAGTTCAGGAGGTGGAGACCTGGAGGATCCAAGTTTGGAGTCAGCCTGGGCAGACATGTCCTTGAGGCTCCATCTCCCAATTAACCAGCAAAAAGTGAGGTGTAAGAGTTTGAGGCCCTGAATTCAAGTCCTGCTATTGGTCCATTAAAAAACCCACGAAAATTATTTCTGTGGTAATGACATGTGTTCATGACTCAACTGACAGAAAAATAGTATAAAGATGGTTTTTAAAATGACTCGAATTTCTATCAATCACAGAGAGGAATTAATCTTTTGGGAAACTTGTGGCACCTGGTTCTTTCTGCATTTATATGCCCACAGAGCAGGGATACGGCCGTGCATGGGATCAGGTCTCCTTTTCCTTCTCATTGCGGTACGACTCATGCTTTGTCATGTCATCAGTACACATGGAGGCCTTCCTGAGCCCTCCAGGTATGCAAGCAGCTTGCTGATTTATAGGGCTCTGCCTGCCGGCTGGCAGGTGGCCATGTGAAGACATGGAGCTGGGAATCCCAGACAGATGTGTGCTACCCAGCCTCAGAGGGAGCTCCTAGAGGCAGCTGACAGGTGAGGGAACAAAGGAGGGGCTCACAGGTGGGCCCCTGGGGACAGGCTGTGCCCGTGCTGGGGCCTCATTTCCACAAGCTCATTCAGACACTCAGGACGGGCCCAGGATGTTTCACCAAGCTCTCAGGTGATTCTTATGTGTTCAAAAGAGTGTGAACCCAAAGTGTAGGCCAAAGGGGGAAGAGAAAACAGGTGCTGAGTGAGAGGCCTGCTGTCACTCCAGGGAAGCAGGCAAAGCGGGACTCCCACCGACTCACCGTGATCCGGGATGTGTCGATGAAGCTCCTGTTAAAGTGGCTCAGGGCTACCTGGGCCTCTTCCTCTGACTTGAAGCCGATGAAGCCGAATTTACGGAACTTGCCATCTTTGGTGAACTTCAGGCTGCAGTCAGTCAGTGTGCCGAAGGCAGAAAACAGCTGCCTAAAGCGCTCCTCCTTCATCTGGAGGAGAAGGGGACAATGAGGGGGGACCTGAGGTGCCCCCTCCTCCATCGGGAGCCCAGGTATCAAGACGCGCTAGCTACTCCGGAGGATGTGGTTTGGAGAAGCACAGTTTGAGGCCAGCCTGGGTCAAAAAGTCCATGAGACTCCATTTCCAGTTGAGCAACAAAAAACCAGGCAGGAGGCACGGCTCAAGTGGCATAGCACCATCCAGTGAGATTTTTTTTTTGTCAGTCGTGGGGGCTGAACTCTGGGCCTGGGCGCTGTCCCTCAGCTCTTCAGCTCAAGGCTAGCGCTCTACCACTTGAACCACAGCACCACTTCCGGTTTTTTGGTTTTGTTTTTTTGCTTATGTGGTGCTGAGAAATCGAACCCAAGGGCCATGCACAAGCAAGGCTAGTGCTCTACCACAGAGCCACCTTCCCAGCCCTCCAGGCGAGAGAGTTTGAGAAGAAAAATCCACAACAATAAAACCAGCCAGCAAACAAACGAATCCACCAAAGGCAAACAGTAAAAACAGAAACAGTCTGGCATTTTCTAAAGTGAGGAAGATACCCTCGGGGATAGAAGCCAGAGTTCGGCATTATTCCCAATCACCCCATTCAAACGGCTCACTTTCCATGGTGGCCTGGGGCTATCCATGATCAGGAGCTCTCTAACCCAGAAGTCGGGTCCAGCCCCCCGTGTCCACGCCCACTCGGCTATTTCTCGGCTGAGGTACCCGGCGTGTGTCGGAGGGATGCTTCCCTCGGGAGGTGGAGGCCTGGGCTCCGGGGATGCAGGAAAGCAGGGCGGGGGCACCCCGCCCCATCCACCTCCCGCCCCCCACTTGGTCTTCCAGGCTGCCCGGGCCGCAGCGGCGGGGAAGCAAACGCCGTGACCCCGCGATGAGCCCTCAGGACCGTCGTCCCTCGCGGTGAACAACCTGGAAACTTCGACCACAACCCTTCGACCCGAGCCTGGGGGGGGCCGGGGCGGGGGTGGCATCGCCCCGGGAAGACAAGTCGGGGTTCCAGCCGGCGGGGAGGCCTCGAGCCGCCCTCCGCCTCCTTCCCGGAGGGCCGCGCGGGCAAGCCCGGGATGCCGACGTCGGCCCGGGGTTCCGGGCTCCGTCCCCCGGAGGGCGCGCCGTGAAGCGTCCCAGGGCCTGGCTCTGCGCTCACCCCGTTCGGGAGGTTTTTCACGATCAGTCGCGACATGGTGCGAGGTTCCCGGCGCCCCGGATCCCAGCCGCGGCCCGCAGCGCCTTCCCCGCCGCTCTCACGCTGCCGCCCTGGGCGCCGCCATGGTTCGCCGGTCACGTGACCGGGCTCGGGACCCGCCCCCTCCCGGGAAGCAGGCGTGATTGGCCACGCCGCTCGAGGAAGTCACGCCCGAAGAGGAAGGGGGCGGGGTGGAGGGCGGCGGAGGACTCGCCCACTGCGCAGGCGCAGGCTCCATCTAGAGACGAGGCTGGGAGATGTCGGTAGGGGGCGCTGGTTCCCAGGATCCAGGGGTTGAGGGGGACAGAGGGGAATCTGCACACCGATTTCCACCAGGTGGGGGCATGCCTAGCACCCCACGATGCTTAGCTTCAGATTCAGCACCAGGCCTTCCGACACCAGCATGATCCTCTAGCCTTTGTGTTTTCTACGGTGATAATTCTGCAGGCTCCCGAGACGGGACAAGAGTACATCAGGGTGCAGTCTCTACCCACTGGTGGGGGGGGAGCTCCGCAGGAACCCCCATACTATCCTTAGTATGCAACATTTGCTTCTTGGCCACAGCATCTCATATGCACTGACGTTGTTTGGGTTTTCCCCCCTCCTCTCAGCTTTTGCAATTTCCCTCTTCAAGATACTCCTGACTTTTGGTGAATAGCTTCATCGAGATGAATTCACAAGTTGGGCCCTGGTGGCTCACGCCTATAATCCTTGCTACTCAAGAGGCTGAGATCTGAGGATCGCAGTTTGAAGCCAGCCTGGGCAAGAAAAAGTCCATGACATTTGTTTGTTGTTGTTGTTCTTGGTTGTGGAGCTTGAACTCAGGGCATGGGTGCTGTTTCTGAGCTCTTTTGCTCAGAGCTAGAGCTCTACCACTTCCGGATTTTGAGTGGTTGATTGGAGATAAGAGTCACCGGGCCATTTCTACTGGCTGCAAGCCATGATCCTCAGATCTCAGCCTCCTGAGTAGCTAGGATTACAGGTGTGACTCACCACCACCTGGCCCTGGAGACTCTCATCTCCAATTAACCACCTAATGGTAGAGCACTAGCTTGAGCAAAGAAGCTCAGAGACAGCCCCGATTTCAAGCCCCAGTACTGGTGCGTGCACACACACACTCACACACACAAAAGATTAATTCATGTATCACACAAGTCACTTGTCTACATTTGTCCCATGGTGGTAGTATGCTTGCTCTTTTGCAACCATGTTCGAGTCAATATTAGGACATTTTTGTCACCATCTCCTCCAAAGGAATCCCTGCTCCTTTATTGCTGACCCCTTCCCTGCTCAATGGAATGACAGGTATCCTTATGAGAAACACACACAGGAGAAGCCATGTGAGGATAGAAAGATGAGTCTTGGTAGAACCATAGAAGATTCCTTGTCTCCCTGCAGCTTCTGTGGGATTGGCTTGTGATTGCATCCCTCCACTGCTATGTCTTACATGGACTGTTGATTCACCCGTATGTGCGCATGCATGCCTGTACGCACGTGCACGCACGCACACACACACACACACACACACACACACACTCAGCTCCATTAACTGGCTGAGGCTGGGTTGTAGCTCAGGGTACTTACTACACACACACACACACACACACACACACGTGTGAATGCACATCACCCTGGCTGCCACACCCAACCACTACAAAAACCAGAAGCAACACCAAACAACAACAACAACCCAAACCCACTGATGTGTGTGTGTGTGTGTGTGTGTGTGTGTGTGTTGGCAACAAGAAGTTACACATTTCCGAATAGCCGCAGAGGGGAGCTGGAAGGTTGTAACCCAAGCACTGTCAGTGTTCGAGGTGGCGGGGGCCGTACCGGCATTCTACCTCCTTGAAAGAGTTTTAACAGATACTTTTGCTTACTGATGTGCTTTTAATTAGAAGGACAATTAGGGGGGCTGTTTCTCCCCCCTCCCCCCGTGACCCCGTTAAGATGGGGGTGTACAGGCTTTCTGGGGCAGTGCTGAGGAATTTGCCTTTAAAGCAAGCGGAGGTTGCCAGTTTCATATGCTTTTATTATTTTCCTGAACTGCCTTTATTAAAACACAACTAAATATAGCCTTCTCCCAAGACCGCGTCCGATCAGAGGGTGTTTTAAAGGCATTAAAAGAAAATGGAAAGCGCTTTACGAACCCCACGTCCCCACCCCGGCCCGGGGAAATGTGGTGACCACATGTTAGGAGAATGACCGACCGTGTTGCGGGCTATGTAACCCCCGCGTTTAATAAGCAAGCACGTTATAACATGATTATGGCCTTCCTGCCTTCCTGCCTTCCTGCTCTGCCTTCTGCCCTTTTTACTCTCGGAAAATACGATCCAAGGGTAACTGGACCCCCCAGACTGGCTCCCCCTGTCTGGGCTTGGGGATTTAAACAAACAAACAAACAAACACACACAATGGGGAGGCTTTATGAGTACATGAGGCCCTGTGGGAAGCCGGGTCTGGGCCTGGCAGAGGGGAGGGGGCCAGGGAGGAAGGAATTCTGCAGGGATTACTGGCTTCCTCCTTCTGTTACCATCTTCCCAGGAATACGAGGTTCTCCTGAGATCCCCTTCCCAGCCCCTCAGCCTCTGTCTCTCCATCCGTGAGATCCGTCCACTGCACTTCTGAAAGGCTTGCCGTGGACACCGGCCGCAGCCCAGGTCAGGTACATGCTGTGTTAGCCTCTGTAACAAGCGCTCACTGGTTGTAGTGGCTTAAAACACCCCCAGGCTGGGGCTCCCCGTGGAATTCCATCCCCAGCTGACAGCACCGGAAGCGGCCCTCTTCCCTTGGCTTGTGAGCCCACCCCCTTCCTCAAGGCCTGCTCTGACTTTTCCCCTGTCCTCACCTCTCCTTCTCGCACTGAACCTCTTACAAGGACATTTGGGATGCCGTTGGACCCGAGTTCAAGCCCCTGGGACTTTAAAAGTAGGGCTCAACCCCAAGCTTTGGTATGGGTGGCCCGGTGATCTATTTGCAAAGGCCAGGGTGGGAGGGAGGGAGAGAGAGGGAGTGGGAGAGAGAGAGAGAGTGAAGGGGGGAAGGGAAAAAGAGAGAAGAGGAGAGAGAAATAATGAGTCAGTCTTGGCTTCTTCTTGGTTGGGTGAGCGCTCTACCACTTGAGCCACAGCGCCACTTCCGGTTTTCTGGTGGTTTATTGGAGATCAGAGTCTCACAGACTTTTCCTGCCCTGGCTGGCTTTGAACTGGGATCCTCAGATCTCAGTCTCCTGAGTAGCTAGGATGACAGGCATGAGCCACCGGCGCCCGGCTTGGTCTTGGCTTCTTATGGGAGGCAAATGGGCCAGGGGCCCGTGGCGTGAGCGGTGTGCAGGCCGAATGGATGCTTTGACTTTAATCTAGAAGATCCCGCGTTAGCCAGCCAGGACCCGGGGAGGAGGTTAAACCGTCTACGCAGTCCCTCGCTGGGGCCAGCAGGGGGCGCCGGAGGACCGTGGACCTGCCCCAGCAGAAGCCGGGGAAAGCTAGGGGAAACCCCTGGCAGCCAGAGCCAGGCACCCACCCGGCCCGGTGTGGGCACAGAGGGGCGGTGGGGTCCTGATTTTGCCCCCACGGGTTTCCTGCCAGAGAAACTCTGCGGGGACAGGCCGCGTGAGGGCCACTTCTGCCGACATAAATAGATGTCAGTTGCTGAGCCGCTGGACCCTGGCTGGGGGGGGGGGGGTCAGCCGTGGCCACCGGCAGGTGAGGGGTGCCAGGGAGGCAGGGACACGGGCGTGGCTGGGGGAAAAGCCTCAGCCAGGACATTGAGGAGCCCCAAGCCAAGAGGAGGGAGCAAGAGGAAACCCCCATCTGGGGCAGAGCCGCCGGCCCCTCCCCACTGCAGGCACTGTGCGGTCCCGAGCAGGGCCCTGGGTTCTAGGTCACGCTCGGACGTTGTGGTTATCTCAATGGATGTTGTCCTTAATGGAGATTATCCTTATCTTAATTGATACATGAAGCTTTATCATCCCTTCCCTCTCCCTTTGCCAGGCCTGGGGCTTGAACTCAGGGACCTGGGTGCTATCCCTGAGCTTTTTTTTTTTTTTTTGCTCAAGGCTGGTGCTGGACCACTTGAGTTACACCTCCACTTCCCAGCTTTTTGGGCTTAATTGGAGATAAAGAGGTTCATAAACTTTCCTGCCCAAGCTGGCTTCCAGCCCCGATCTTCTGATCTCAGGCTCCCCAGTAGCTGGGATTCCAGGCCAGAGCCGCCAGCGCCTGGTCATTATTTTTTTTTTTCTAGCAGGAACCTGCTCAGAGAGGTAAGAGAGAGAGCCCCGGCCCAGGTCACACAGCATTATCTGTTTCTCCCGCTGACTCCGATGCTGAGCCCCTGGAGGACTGTCCCAAGCACTTTAAAACACGGCTTGAATTAGTTTTCAGATTAAATGTCCTGTGAGGGAGATAATTCTGCTTTGTTTCCATCTCTAGGGGTAGGAGAGGAGGTGTGTGTGGGCTGAGAAAGGGAAAGAAGTCTAGGAAGATCTTTCTAAGTGGCATCACTTGCGACGTTTTAGTTAGAGTGTTACATCATATTCTGTATAACTGATTGGTGTCTTTCTGCAAGCAGAGCTGGAAAGATTGCTCCAGCCCCTACTTTATCCCAAACAACTCAAGAATGTGGACTTGGTGGGGGCCAGTGGCTCACGCCTGTAATCCTAGCTGCTTAGGAAGCTGAGATCTAAGAATCGTGGTTCAAAGCCAGCCACAGCAAGAAAGTCCGTGAAACTCATCTCTAATTAACCACCAAAAAAAAGCTACAAGTGTTGCTGTGGCCTAATGAGTAGAGTGTCATCCTTGAGCAAAGAAAGCTTCGGCCCCAAGTTCAAATCCCAGGACTGTCACAAACAAAACCAAAAGAATGTGGACCTATTTACTCTTGTGCATTCTCCTGACATCCAAACGGTTCTTATGCCTGTTTTCTGGATGAGGAGAAAGCGAGGTCCAGAGGGGTTGAAAAGCCACACAGCTGGAAAGGGGCGGAGCTTGGACTTGAACCTGGGACTCTGTGATATTTTGGCTATGGCTTTTGTGCTCCATCCTGCCTGCCTCCCAGCGCAGCCTGCTGGGGGC